GTTTGCAGGGGGTATTTGGTTAATGTGGCATAGTTCAAAAGTGGATATAGCTCTTTTATCCAAGTCAGTTCAATTTATTCATTGTAGAGTCTCTCTTCCTACAGGTAATTCATTTGATTTCACTGCTATTTATGCTAGTCCTTCTCAAAATGTTAGAAATAATCTTTGGGAGGATCTTAGAAAACTTAGTGAAACTATGAATAGACCGTGGTTGTTGGATGGTGATTTTAATGAAATAGCTTACACTCATGAGAAGATAGGGGGTGTTCCAGCTGACCCAACCAAGTGTGCTAATTTCTCTTCTGTGCTTGAAGACTGTCAGGTGACAGATTTGGGCTGTGATGGTCCTCTATTCACCTGGCAAGGTCCTAAATGGACCAATTTGAGAAGAATTTTTAAATGGCTTGACAGAGTTATAGCGAATTTGGAGTGGAAAATGATGTTTGATGATGCTAGAGTGTCTTCCCTTCCTCGGTTACTATCTGATCACAATCCTCTATTAATAAAGTTATTCGAAAATTCATATGAGAAAGGTAAGAAGCCTTTTATATTTTTTGCAGCCTGGCAGGAACATCAAGCTTTTAATAGCTTTATCCGGGTCAAATGGGACTGATTTTGATTTTCTATATATGCTACAAAGATTGGTACCTGAACTTAGAATATGGAATAAGAAAATTTTTGGGGATATTGATAGAAAGAAAAATAGTATTACCCAAAAAATTGCCAACATCCAGAACAGCCGTACTCAAAATGATTCTCAAGCTCTGATGAATTTGGAGAATGATTATCAGAGAATGCTTATTAATGTTCTTTGTGAAGAGGAACTTTTTTTGGTTTCAAAAGTCTAGGCAGAAATGGATTGCGGATGGAGATAGAAATACTCGTTTCTATCATCTCAGTACGGTTGTCAGAAGGAATTCGAATAAAATCTTCAAGCTTAAAATGATGGAGAGGCTTGGATTTCAGATCCTGAGGAACTCAAAAACATGGCTTGCAATTTCTTCAAAACTTTTTTCACTGAAGACTTATGTGACAGAAGGTGGATTTCTTCAGGAAACCTTTGGCCTGATCTTCTAGAGCGAGAAAATGATTCTTTAAGCAAAGTCCCACGTGAGATGGAAATTAAACAAATAACTTTCAGCATTGGAGCATTCAAGGCACCAGGTATTGATGGTTTTCCTGCATTTTTCTTTCAGAAGAATTGGGAATTAATTAAATCTCAAGTATGTTCCTTAATTAATCAGATTTGGAATTATCCTGAAGTTTTGGCATCAATAAATTCTACTTTGCTGGTATTAATTCCTAAAGTCTAGAATCCGGTGAATATAAAGCAATTTAGGCCAATTTCGTTATGTCCGATTATTTACAAAATTATGAGCAAGCTTATTGTGAGCCGGCTGAAACCAATTATGCATAAAGTAATTTCTCCTGCTCAATCTAGTTTTGTGCCCCAGCGCCATATTCAAGATAATATCATTATTGTGCAAGAACTGGTTCATTCTATGAGGAGAATGCGGGGTAAGAAGTGTTTTATGGTGATTAAAGTGGATCTTGAGAAGGCTTATGATTGTTTAAATTGGAAGTTCATTCATAGAGTGCTTGATGAAATTCAGATTCCTAATAGACTTTCAAAACTGATCATGGAAGCTGTCACATCTCCAAAAACCAACATTATTTGGAATGGTAAGTTAACAGAGGAATTCCAACCAAGCACAGGCGTCAGACAAGGAGACTTGATCTCTCCTTACCTGTTTGTCTTGGCAATGGAGAAGCTTTCTCATATCATTGATACATTAGTGAATGAGAATCTTTGGAAGCCAATAAAAGCTGATAAGGGTGGACCCAAAATATCTCACCTCCTATTTGCGGATGATTTGGTGTTTTTTCTAGAAGTTAGTGAAGATCAGCTTAATATCCTTTTCAGATGTTTGAATTTGTTTGGAGACATTTATGGGCAAAAGGTGAATGTTCAAAAATCTTCTATTTATTTCTCAAAGAACACTCCAGATGAATTAGCTACTAAAATCACAGAACAAAGTGGACTCAAAAGAGTAACAAATATAGGAAGATATCTTGAAGCAATGATACATCATGGTAAAGTTACTAAAAATTTATTTGCTGGTATAATTGAGAGAGTTAAAGAAAGATTATCTAGCTGGCAATCCCAGTCTCTCTCTCAGGCGAGCAGAGTGATTCTTTCTCAATCTGTGTTGTCTACTATGCCGTATTACTTCATGCAAAGCAATATGATTCCTAAAGCTGTCTGTAATGAATTGGAACATCTTCAAAGAGCCTTTATATGGAGTGATACAGAAAGGAAGAAACATATGCATCTTATTGGTTGGGACACAATTACAAGACCAAAAGCAGATGAAGGGCTGGGGTTGAGGAAATTACAAGTCATGAATGAAACTTTCTTGGGAAAACTAGTTTGGAATTTTGTTAATGATCCTGATCAGCTTTGGGTGAAGGTATTAAAAGCTAAGTACACAAATTCATCCAATACTCAGATTGATTTAACTTGGAAGAATGGAAATTCTCGTCTTTGGAAATTTATGTGTGATGTTTGGAATAAGCTTAAACCCAAGCTGGTTTGGGATGTGGGTGATGGATCTTCTGTTCTTTTTTGGGAGGACCATTGGGTGAACATTGGGGAAAAACTTGAGCTATTGCTCAATTTTCCCCAACAGAGGCTGGTAAGAGAGTAATTGATTATGTTACTCATGATGGATCTTGGGATTGTGAGATTATATCTAATTTTCTTCCTAGTGATTGTGTTCAAATTATTAGAAGCATGCTGCCTCCTCCTAAATCTAATGGTATGGACAGGAAATGGTGGAATTTAGTTGGATCAGATGAAGTTTCTGTGAAAAATATTTTTTTTTTACATTGCTAAATCAAAATAGTTCTAATGGTATTGACAGAAAATTCTGGTCAGCCATTTGGAATTTAAAAGGGCCTAATCGGATAAGTTCGTTCCTTTGGAAGACTGCTCATCATCGTCTATTAACTAGGAGCTTCCTGGCAAACTTTAAATTGGGTCCTCCTAGCTGTCCTATTTGTAATTTTCATGACGAATCCATTATTCATATGGCACGTGACTGTCCAAAGATTAAAAAAGTTTGGTCTGATCTTTTGAGGCCAAATTTGATAAATGATTTCTTTGATACTAATTTAGATTGTTGGCTTTCCTGGAATATTCAAAATGTATCTATTTTGTGCTTTGATGCCCCCTGGTCATTAGTTTTTGTTGTTACTGTTTGGTTAGCTTGGCAGTGGAGAAACAATCAGGTGCATGGTGTGGAAAATAACGGGAAAGCATACAAGGTGCAGTCCGTAGAGAGTCTGGTTCATGAGTATACACAAGCCTGGATAACCTCTAAGGGGACAAAGCTGACCAAGAATTACATTTATGTTCCTATTAGATGGTTACCTCCGGACACAGGTTGGGTGAAATTAAACACGAACGGTGCAGCCAGGAGTGATGGCAGGGGTGCTGCTTGTGGAGGAATTATAAGAGATGAAAATGATTATTGGATAGAAGGGTTTGCTTACTATATTGGCCATTGTTCAGCTTTTGTTGCAAAATTATGGGGTGTCCTTAAAGGTCTTAAATTTTATTGGGGCTAGTGGTTGGAGACGCTACATCCTAGAAAGTGATTCAAGCTCAGTTATCACTTTGCTCTCCAGCAGTGGAAGAGCAGCTCGAGAGTCTCGCTTAGTGACTCGGATTCGAGCATGGTTACAAAAGAATTGGGAAGTTCACCTGGTTCATGTTTTTAGAGAAAGAAATAGTTGTGCAGATTGTCTTTCTAAATATCCTTTGGATTATCATGTTGAGAATAATTTTTGTGTTTTTTCAAACCCTCCCCCTGATATTTGGCCTCTGTATTGGACTAATTTGTCTTGTCTTGTAATTTCAGAACGATTTTATTGAATTGATCTCTTTGGGGTGTTGTTGTTAACCCACTTTAGATTACCAATTTTTTTTTTTTGACTATCTTAACAGATACACGTAAATACTTTAATTAACGAAAAAATGCATCATTGAATGATAAGGCAATACGTGTTTACATAGAAAAATTCAATTCTTATTCCATTCCTTAATTTTAGGAATAAAAAATTCAGAAGTTGAAAAATATCTCATTGATTTTCTTTATTTCATAATACAGATTAATGTATAAGATATTTATATTGAAATATCTTATTTTATGTAGTATATATATGTTACGTGATAAGCTAAGAAATTGTCTTAATTCTTATTTAAATTTTCATAGCCTTGGTACTTAGCATCGGAACAAACTTCAGATTCCACATCTAGTTACGTAATTTGATATAGGCAAAAATATTATAATTAAAATTTCAATTTATCACTATAATTTTATATTTTTACAATTTTTTTTTCATGAAAATAATTTTCCCAATATTTCAAATACTTTTATATTTTTATGATATTTTTACGTTACAATTTTATATTTTACGATTTTTTATTCCCTTTTAATTTTACATAAAATTTCAATTTTAACTACCTCAAGATTGAATGATTTTGGTGGCTGCAAAATGCAAATCCACGGAGAGACCATCTTGCAACTCCGAAAATGAAGAGTGAAGACCCAAGAAGTTGAAGCCCAATTTGTATGATGTTATTTATTTATTTTTTTACCCAATCGTCATGGAACATGCAGAAGCTGCTAGGCTTAAAAAGTGAAGACGGTCTCTTTTGCATGTGTAAATTATGTGCATAACTTGGGATGTCAAAAGTAACAAAAATAAAACAAAATCTCCGGAAAAGTGTAGTTATTATCCAACAGCTTCAAAAAATAGAATTTCAGAATATCTATAAATATATATTGTAAATGCTATGTCTGAAAGCCAATTAAGCTATCAACCACCACCCTACAATAAGTACCTTGAAGCAAATCAAAGTGACCATCAGGGTCACAACAATCGGGACATCATTCCATTCCTATGTTAAACTAATATTTGGGAAAGATGGGGCAAGGGGCAGATATCAGTATCGAGTGAACCTGGTAGTACGAATTTGAATGTGGAAGCCAATTGTAGCCACCAAATATTTCATAATATCAATAACATCAAAAAATTGTAGCCCGTTAAAGGGAGAGAAAAATTAAAACTTATTAAGACAACAAAAATATGGATGAATGGAAAGAAAATATCCTCTAGTTTCATCACAAAATACCTCTATTTACATGTTTGTAACTCATCAGTCACCATGTCACAGTATACTACAATCTCCGAGCCTCATTTCCCCTTCTGTATGCCTTATTCGGTTGTGCAGGTATAGAAGATGTGAAGAATGCAAGAAAGATAAATTTCAGAAAAACATCCTTTGCTCATCATCTTGGATGGGATGTCATTTCCATCTGGCGCCACTGTCACTGATGCATGACCAAAAATACTGAAAGACAACAAAATTGCAATTATTAGATGATTGATTTGCGTACAAAAACTCAATAACTTGAAAAATACAAAAGGACAAAGATGTCTAGTTGCATTTTGACTTCAACGATTAGCAAAAGGTTTTGCTTTGATGAAGAGAAAAGTCACATATTCAATTTCCCCGACTCACTTGCAAGAATGTGCTGTCTAGTACCTTACATAGATGTATCTCAAAATTATCACATTGGTTTATGGATTGCTATTTATAGAAATCAGAGTAAATCAACTATAACAATAGGAGTTAGATCAAAGTAGTTGAGCTCCAAATACAATATTTGAATATCACATACCATATCCAGCTTATGTACTGGAAAACAATTTGCAGACCCGCTTTACTCTGCTTGAACAAATGGTTGAAGACTTTGCCTGTTCCTGGCATGAAATGTTCTGATGCAAGGTTCTCCTTTCCCTTCTCCTTCGAAATAAAAAATCTTCGGTATCTAAAACGTATGAAACCTAATAACATGCAATGTGTTCCAGGGAGAAAGCAAAGAGTGGAAATTCAGAAACACAATCCAAACAGACATGAAACTCTAATCAAATAAATGCATGGCATATCAAAATGAGTAAGATAAAAAATATTAGTACTCAATAGGATTTAGGGAAGAATTGCATGTATATTTATAAAACATGCAGAAGAAAATTACTAAATACCTTGGATGAATTGCAAACTATCTTACATTCCAGACCGTTGATAACTTGTAGTCCATCCATGGCCTGGCTTGAAAATTCATCACTACAGGCATATTTGCGTTTATTCCTGCAAAAATAAATAAACCAAAATAGATACAGATGCTACCCAAGCATTAGGATGCAATGGCACCTACAATTCTCCTCACTTATTACATACCTCTTCAAGAAAATTCCTGACTTCTCCTTTTTGTCAGGGACAACAGATAGAAAGTCATGGTGCAGATAGGCTGAAAAATTAGGGTCCATTGACACAGCAGTCACTTCAGGCTTATCATGTCCATAGTCCATCAGTTGAATAGACAATCGAGTAGGTGCAGGCGACTGCAATGAGTATGAAATAAAACCAAGTTATAGAACATCTGAATTTTCACTCAAAAGCTCAATACAAAAAATAATAAATAATAAAATCAAAAGCTGATCCAAGTAGAGAAGTGGAACAAATAAAAACTTACACATTCAATACGATACATGTTCTCATCATGAAGAAGAACACGGGCATTTTCATGATAAACTATATCAACAAATCTTCCAGATTTTCTTGAATTTTCATATGCATATAGTTGAAGAAGCTTGTTATCCATCTCATCAGTGGCAACAGCTTGAAGCTGAAATAAAAGGGGACAACTTTTTAGGACAGGAAAGAACAAGGAATAGCAAGGAAAAGGCCCGTAGAGAGAAAGAGGAATTTATGCATGTTACCTGTTTAACAATTTTATATATCAGCTTGTCTAATGTGAACAAGACATATGACTTAGTTCCAATAATAGCTCTACAGTCATCTTCAAATTTTGTATTATCAGAAGAACCATCCAATAAATTGTAAAGGGAATTCATGAACCTGTAGCATAAAGGGCACCCTCAGTATTGGATAGATATTCAAATGTACCTTCAAAATTGTAATAGAATGTAACATTTCTATGGCATATCACCTGCCATATTGATCAGTAGAGCTTGAATCATTCGAAGCCTTCCACTTCCTTTCAGCAGATGATGAGTTAATCTTTGCTGATTGTATCCTCTCATACAATGTCTGTCAAATTAGCAAAAGGAAGAGCATGATAAGGAATATATAATAAGCTCTGAAACCTCTGGTTAGTAGTCTGCAAACATAATCATAAATACTTACAAATAAGTAAATAGACACATGTACCTGATGAAGTCTAAACAGAACATAAAAGGAATCATTTCCGTAAAAAACTCGAACATTCCTTTCTTTCTCATGCAACACTGGGGGAACATGTTTTGCCAGTGGCTTTACAGTGAGAAGAAAGCGCTCTGAATATGGTACTGAGGCTCCATCTCCTTCAACATCATTGGCATCAGCTATTCCTTCAGCTTCACCTTCACTCTCAGCCTTGTTAACATGTTCATGATCCCCATCCTCCTCATGTTCTTCTCGAGAACACTCCTCACCATCAGCAGACTCAGTACCAGAAGCATCACCATTTTCAGAAGCATTTTCACTGTCCTCTGATGATCTATTAGGACTTTCTTCACCTTCATCATCAGCATCATTTCCTCCTCCAGCTTCACCACAAACTTCTTCCCCATGTCTATTTTGGTATTGTCGACCTGCACTACAATCTTTTCCTTTATGCACTGCCTCCAAGCCAGCATCCCCATAAACTCCAAAATTATCCTCTTCAAAATCTCCATTAGGAGATAACTCCCCCTCTTCTCTTTCAATTTTGAAGTGTCCAACTGATTCTTCATGGTAGCTGTGAACTTTGGTGTCTTCAGTGATGGCCCCATTTGTGGATGTAACTGGTCTAGTAGAATCAGCACCCTAAGTCATGACAAAAGAAAAAAAATCAGGACAATAATATGCAGTTCAACACTACATACGGGACATGCAACAGTACAAGTCTGACAAGACTAACAATGAAGAAGGAAGATAAAAACACTATGAACCAGACTGATTTTAGTCCTAAGTTCCAGGAATTGCTAGTCTTAAAATGACAAGCACATTAACATTTAATCTTCAGTTGCACCTAGACTCTAAATGTATCTACCTTGGCATCATGGAATGAAAGTTCAAATTTAAAAAATAAAAATAAATGAAATGCAAACCAGAACTCTCAAGTAGAAAGGAAATGCTGCTCTCGATACTCGTTTTCAAAAAGTCAACATGTGGATTAACATTTGTCATGGAATATAAATTAAATATGAAGATCAAATTCCTCGTAGAAAGATAATCATACAAATGATAAACCATCTACATGCTACAAGCTTATTAGTTTTCCGACATGCTTTTCAAAAAATGGTGATCTTCATATTCTTTTTCGAAAAGCTAACAACTTATGGCTTAACATATAAGTCAAAGAATATAAATTAAATGAAGATCAAATCCATTGTAGAAAGATAATCATACAAATGATAAAGCATCCATATGCTACAAGAATAATGATTTGGGCCAAACATGCTTTTGAGAAAATTATATCAACTAATGCAAGATAAAAAATAAGATAGTAGTTAAGAATCCATTTTGCAATATGCAGGCTCCAGATCTCTAAGTCAATGCAAAGTGTCAATCAGGAGGATGGTTATAAAACGGAGAAACATACACTCATTCATAAAAAGTCAGCATGTGTCCTTCCAAAATCCACATGATATATGTTTCTTTCCACCACTTGGTATCATCTTATTTAGAATTAGAACTAAAGACATAAATAAGATAAGTTATATATGCTATCAGTAAACAAGAAATTGTCGCATCACTGAACATTTAGGGTCCTTCATTTGCAGTAAAAGTAATGCTGTCTTTTGAATGGGAGGGCATTCAACTGGCTCAAAGATTATGTAAAACTCAGTGAGTCAAAATTAATCCTTTTAAGATGAATAATTTCCATATCCACTTTAACTGAAAATAGATTGACATAAGCTGAAAAGGAGTTAAGCCATACCTCTGATAAAGGTAAATCAAGTCCTCCCTCACTAGAAACATTACCAGGTCTAGACGGAGTTGCAGTAAGTCCTGCAGAAAAAAGATGTATCTCAGAATTCCATTCATCATTTCATCATCAGAGAGAAACAGTTGAAAATCAATGGAAACACTAATGACAAATTATTTAAGATAAATAGTAAAGTAAATGTTGCAATCATGAGCAAAAGACGGAAAGAACAGAGAAATAGGGCCATGAATGATATTATGGTAATGTGATGACATGAGATATGGTAAGCACTAACCTTTTTCATCTATTTACACTAACATTCTATGAAGACTAGTAGTTCAACTACTACTACACTCCTAACAAGATATAATTGCTAACAATAACAATAATGACAATGAAGGTTTTGTTGAGGTTTGCCCTTAGGACACATGTTAAGGAATAAAAATAGCTTTTATTACCAATCCTAACTACTAAAAGAAGAAAGCATTTAATGCTTTTTAGATTTTCAAGATATTAAATGCTTGTACTTTTCATTTAATAGATTCTATTTCTTAACATGTTACCTTAGGGCACATGTGAACAAAACCCTAAAAAGATGTAATGATCAAGTATTTAAGATGAATGATACAGTAAGCATCAAGTAGTGTCATCATTCTTGAATCAAGATGCCAACCTGAAGCATTGCCCACATTCGTTCTTGCATTAATTTGCTCCATTGCAGAGGACAGTGAGACATTAGCATTCACTAACCGTTCAATGGAATGATCTTGTTGATTGACTCTTGATACTTCATCAGGCATGGATGCCCTTATATGCATTTTACCCTGCTGAGTACTACTGCCTAAAGTTTCAGTCTTATGAACAGAACGGTCAGAATCGAGACAATTATCCTCTTTAACCCCACTATCCCCATTTGTTTGCCATTCCTTGCAAGAATTTGATTGTTCTACATCCCTATTTCTATTAGTGTTAAAATTTTTAGTATTGATTATGGTAGTACCCACACCGGGACTACCGTCACCCTCAGCACTTGTAGAGCCACTTTTGGCAGAATTATTCTTAGCCTTGACAACATCTTCTGTATCCTCCGGACCCTGGGGTCGAGAAGGAACACCAAACACAGGTTCTAAAAATGTTGTCCAAATCTTCATAACTTTATCCAACTGTTCGGTTGTACAAACTTCTCCACAGGAATACTTTATGAGCTGATACAAATCCTCATGGATCTCTGGATCAGGATATTCAAATTCCAAGTGAGGAAGAATAGGCCATCTATTTCCAGCAGCAATTGCCAGAAGAAAATCATCATCTTTTTGTTTCTTCTCACTAATTTCTTTGATTTCTGCCAGTAAGGCTGTAAAATGCACAGCAAAAGCTAGGAGTCAAATTGTCTATATTGCATATTATAAAATAAAGGAATTACATATATATATATATATGGCAGGTTATTTATTCTTACACTGGCGTAAGAATAAGAAGTTTTACACCAAATCTTAATCATTGATTTATATGCATCTAATGGCTCACATCTGGTAAATCAGAACCGTTAGATACAAAAGGGCCAATGGTCAAGATTGAGAGTGTAACTTACACCGGTGTAAAATGATCCTGACTCCACACACACGCACACACACACACACACATATATATATATTAATAGGATTATATTTAAAAAATTATAATAATTAAAATAATTGAAGCATTGAATGAATATTTTATTAGTACTAATAAAGGAAAAACTGTTGTCTCATGATCACATATTAGAAAATTGAACTTCCATTGCACTTGAAAAATAGCATACGTTCATTTTGCACGTGTTAGCAGTGTTTCTAGAAACCATGTTGTGTTGTGATCAATACAATCAAAGTAAATGCATTTTGTCGTACATATTATGAGCATATAATTGCTTTGAAAGGTGGGTGTGGGGAGAAGTACGCGTGTAAAAGAAAAGAGAAGAATTAAATCACAGACCAAACAATGGAATGAAGATGATATATTTCATGTTCTTGAAGTGCAAAGCAATGTTTTACCTTTAGGGCTTAAGCTTTTTGAATCCTGCTGCTTGAAGTAGAAACTACGATGATCCAGTGATTTGTGATAGTTCTTTGCATATATTTCAGACCAAACTTTATTAAAATCAGCACGACACCTTGCCCACTCATCTTGTTTCTGCTTCAAGCGGGTTAATATGACTGGCAAAGATAGAGATGCATTCTTCCTTAACACATCCATCACATCAAGCCCATGGTCACCATATAATCGTTCAACGCACCTAAGATTTAGAGCTAAAAGAACACACCAAAAAATCATATCAGAACATGGAAAACATTAATAAATTACATCATACTGCATAGACGTGCTTTGACAAGTTTCGTTGATCAATTGAAAACCACATTACCTGTTAAGTGCTCCTCAATACGAATTGGACAGTCTCCTTTAATTATATTAGCATTAATCTTTTCTAAGAGCTCTTCAACTCGTTTAGTTGTCACATTTACAGACTCTAACAACATATCAAGTTCAAACCTACCAGCATAGATTAGGATAATATCAGCAAAGTGCAAGTGGAAGATATCTTACAGAAATCACGTCTATGAATCAATCCGGTGATGTCAAAATTAACCAAAATATAGAACAATACAACAATTAGCAACTACCATTGCACCCAATATAAAACAAATCAATAAACAGGTATTTTAAAGGGTAAATAGAAATCAAAGCAAAGCTCCAACCTGTCATCTTCACATCTAAACAAGCTCTCTTCGTACTGATTTTTGCGCATGTGTTTAAAGGAATAATCCTCACTTCCTGAAGTAACAGAAACCCAGTGATCATTCAATACTTCTGCGCCAAGTTCTGTTCTCTGGCTAGCTGACTGTATTGGGTACTGTGTGATCACAAATAATACACATAAAGAACACAATCAGCAAGAGAATCTCAGAGACTCTATTAGGACATGCTAAATAACGAATGGGCAAGTAAAGAAAGTATACATTTTTTGGTAGAAGACGGTAACTGGGAGTGCATTGCTCACAGTTAGAAAGGTCCAGCTCATTTATAGGTTTTGCTACATACTTATCCTTGCTGACATATACAGGCATCTTAGGAACTGAAACATCCTTGTTCGCAGTTGCAGTCGATTTGTCTCTTTCTCGGCATTCACGATCCCTTTCTTTCACCCCATCATCCCTATCACGATCTCGATCCCTGTCTTCTGCCTTCATTGGTTTCAGTCCATGTCCTTCATTCCACAAGGACTCTGATGAATAAATAACGGTCAGAATTTTTGGACCAGAAGATGAAGCTGAAAATGTTCATGTGAGCCCTTGCTACATAAAAATGAAAGGGTGGCATCTAGCATAAGATAACAGCAAAAAGAAAACCATGTTACTTACTTTTATTCATGACACCAGCAAGGAATCCTTCTGCATGACAGCACTTGATTAGGAGGAATTGAAAAAAAGAAAAAAGAAAAACTGCACTTAGTAGAAAGTGAAAAAATAGTACAAACATTACCATTCTTCTCACACTGTGCCAAAAATTCATTAAATCCCTCCATAAGATCTGGATATTTTCCGAGTAAATCACCCACCTGGAAGAATAATTAACTAATGTTAGGACTACATGAAATATGCTCAATAGAACAAATTTCATTCTGTAAAACGAATGAAAGTCAGAATCAGGTCAAGCTGATCCTAAACTGAATGGAGTAAATCCCAGCTATCTTCACCAAAAGATAAGTTGGTTCACAATATTATTCAACATTTCCTACTCTACATTCACTTTTCCCGGATTTTCTGCATGGAGGGGGAACTTGAATGTATTTGGATTTTGGACAGCTCTTCCTAAAATATCAATCAGTTTTCTATTACAGTTGTGACATTGAAAGCCATACTACTTCGTTGTATTTTAAAAATTCAGTTAAATCAAATCCTAGCAAATTATGATGATACAAATTTGTGGCATTGAAAATTGATCTTTGATGATGTACGGACTATGGAGTTGCCCAAAACTGTCCAGTTATATTCTAGGTACACATGTGATATAGATGCACAAGAGGAGTGAGTAAAAAGGAAAAGTCCACCATTTCTTTGTCATGTAAATGATCAAAGTTAAAAATACGCAAAAAGCCAATGGTCAGCTACGAAATAACATAATCTGTTGTTTAATCTTGACCATTCACCCTAATATTACATTCTCGATTGACTCCTTTCACTGCTACAATACATCATGCCTTTCATACAAAAAACAAAAAAAAAATTGTGCAGAATATTTTCTATTTGCCTATAACTAATTCTTCATTTCCAAATTTTACCATCAAATTTTTTATTAAAGGTCAACTATCAGCGCCAGCCAAATTAAATACAACAGTATTGATACAATGTGACAATAAAACCAGTAAAATACCTAATAAGATATTAAAAGTTAGATGTATAAACCATACCAATGACTGCAATTCATGTCGCGTAATTATTTCCCTGCTGTAGATATGTAGGCACTTCAAAAATTCCTGGTAATCCTCAGGGTTACGTAATTTCTCCTTGACTTTTTCAAGGAAAGCAAGCACTTGACTACACATACCTGAGATGACAAAAAGGTAAGTTATTAGAAAAAATTGTTAAAAGAAAATAAGGAGTTGAATTACCATCCAACAAATAACAGAACACTAACAAAAAAATTGGAAAAAGTATTTTTCTTCTTATAAGTAATACATGGTACGGACCTTATAGTTTGCAGTTTATATAGCCTAAAAGCCTATATCATAAATACAAAGTATGCAGCATTTCTCAATTGTAGATAGTCCAATCAATAAAAGAGATCATATTTTTTCTACATTTATCATTATGAATGGCAGAAAAGCTAAGATAAATTTTTGCATTACACAATAATTTTTCAAGCGTTACTGGTTTTCTTCTTTTTTATTTTTATCTTTCCCATTACTTCTTCCCAGTTGAACATGATATGAGATTGATGTATATGTTTGCACTGTTAAAACATTATACATCATAAGTACATAAAATTTGTTTGGGAAGGTAAAAAATTTCTAAATAAGTTTGTAGATTTAAAATTAAAAGTATTGACATACTTTTCAAAGAACTTTTATCCTCACAAGCAGATGAGCGCATGCCAAAATTTTCATCTGCATCATGCAATGGTTCAGCACCAGAGTCTTCAACCCTATGACCAGATTTCCGCTTGTGGGACAAACGTTCCCGACTACCATCATGATCATAATCCCTATCATCCCTACCCTGTTCTCTCCTATCTCTCTCTTCTCTACGGTCCTTTTCCTTCTCACCACGCCTCTGCTGCTCCTTATCAGCCCTGATCAAACCTCTGTCAAGTTCTGGATCTGAATGGTCAACACTAAGGTCACGATCACCATGTGAAGCTATGGTCCTTTCTCTCTGGCATAGAGATAACAAAATGTTAGCTTAATGACCAACTATAAAACCACAGTGACGTAAAGAATAAGGAGAGCAATAAACCTTGTCAGCATGCATTTGCCTCCCTGTTGGCATTGCAGAGCTCCTATCACGAAGGAGAGAATTTCGAGCGGAAGCATAATGAGTAGAGGCTGTTCCAGAAGTATCAGGAAGAAAGTGAGTAAACTCCTCAAGAAGATCTGCGTGGTCCTGGAAAAGTTCAGCAACCTGGAGAAGTCCAATATATGATTAAAATGTGTCTAAAGAATCATAAGACCTACAAGAGGGGGAAAATAGAAAGACAAATATAACAAATTTGCCTAACTGTAGGATGATAACATAGGCATAGACAGTACAGACCTCCTGGTAAACCTCGGTGATAGACTTGATTTCCTTTCTGTACATATTCAATATGTCTAGAAACGACTTATAAACACGGTCATTGCCTTGAAAACGAGTCTGCATAAAAAGAACCCAGTCAGACTCAAAAGTTAAACTGTCCATTCTGAGTTGATCTTGCTATAATGAACAGGAGCTTTGACCAAGATGCAACACTAGATTGTTGTGGTAATACCACTGCCAACAATTTCAGGAAATTTTAATCAGCCAGCATTCAAATGTTCCATGTCAATTGGGTCAGTTATCCAGTAAAATGACTAGTTCTGCTTAGGCCTTTTCTTCAGTGTCTTGCTTTTATTTTCCTGTGGGTGTACATTTAATTTGGATGACATACATAAAATGCACCAAATATAACAATGTTTTTACCTTAATCTTGCCCACAAAATTTATAGCTTCTGCAAATTCAACAGGCTTCTTCTGAGCAGGTTGTTCATCCTCCAAGGGAAGCGTGATTTCAAATCCTTTTGGCAAGAAGGTGTTAAATCCCAAAATTAGATCTTTATGCCCTTGAAACAGATCTTTCACTCTTTCTATGACACCTGTTGTATCAATTCTACAAATGAACAAAAAAGATAAAAATTAATTTCAGCTAACAAAATCAAGATCCCCACTCCCAATGAAATATAACAATAGAGAAAAAAATATTTGCTTGGAGGTGGGAGAATTTAGTACAACATGATCAAACCTTTGAGCCTTGAAATCCTTCATGACTTCCAAAAAGTCATCATATTTTTCCCTCTTATTTTGAAACATATCCTTCACTGCCTTGAGATATGCTAAGGCATCATTTGTGGTCAGTTTCTGACCGCCACCACTAATCATCTGGGGTTGTCCCGAACTTCAATCCACAAAATTTATAAAATATTTAGACCATTGATTACAAAGTATTCAGCACATTATCACATGATTCAAACACAATTTAGCAGAAGAATGTTGTATGCAGCAGAAGTGTAGAGGGTTTAGAAAGGCAAGAGTGAATCTCAATTGCATTTATATTTTATAAATTGTATATACAATGCTTTTCTCCTCTTATTTTTTCTTCTCTCTATCTTGTGAAGGCCTACAGAACACGCTATTTATAATAGAATGCAGAAAAATACAGAGACCTTAACTCATACATTTCAGTTATAAACCAAAATATTTGGGAAAACTAAGGATTACACATAATTAACTTGCTGAATAATGCATATAACTCTAGACTTCACAGATTAATCTTCCAACAAAGAAACATCTGATCCTATCTCACCAAGTCAAACATAAAAAAACAAAAAAACAAAATTGAAGCTTCTTCCAGAGACTAAACAAAATCTATCGTAGTATAAAAAGAACTGAAGATGCAACTGTCTCATCAAGCCAAAAAAAAAAAAAAAGAACAATCCATGGAACAAAAGTTGAACGCATTTAATTTAAAAAAAAAAAAAAAAAGACTCACGGTTCTCCTCTAGAAGACACCACGGGCCGTTTGAGTTGTGAACTCATGTAAACATCATCTCTGGACCTCTTCATCTCTAAAAAGAACCAGATAAAAATAAAATTACACAAAATATTAACACACCCCAAATCATGCTTTCAAACTCAGATACAAGTTGCACATTCGAACAAAAGAACAATCAGGAAGCAGATCTAACCAAAGGGAATTCACAAAAGGCATGAAACACGAGCAAGAATTCCAACCCCAAATTGCAGACAGATCACCACCGGAAGACCCAAATCCTAATAAAGAGAATCAGAAAAATAAAAAATTGCATTACTTCAATGTAAAGCAACGTGGTATGATAATATGCGGCACAGAAGAGAGGATTTCAAACAAAAAATTTACCGAGTGATTGTGAAGTGCACGAACTGCAGAGTCCACCGCAACAAGCTTTTCAACAAAGAGACAGAGAAGAGAGATAGATTAGAAACACAAAAAATGAAAATATAAAAACAAAAACAAGGATTGAAGTTTTGCGTAAAAAGAGTTTCTCTCTGTGATTCTTCAAACAATCGTAAACTCAGATGGTGAGAGAGTTCACAAACCTCTTGAAGCAAAGTTTCTCACTTTGAAGAAAAAAAATTAAAAAAAAAAAAATCTCTTATTTTTTCTGCGTACACAAACAGAATATGAAGAAAGAATGGGGAAAATATACAATGGGAGAAGATGAGAGAGTTCACAAAGTGATATATATATATAATAGATATATATGGGGGACACTCAAAAACTCACCAAAATAAATGTTTGGGAACGAGAAATTGGGCTATGGTGGGATTCGTATTTTGATGTAAATTTTTTTCTTCAATTTTTATTTTATTATCTGAGGAAAGACCATTTTTATCCCTGACAAAAAACACGATCACCACTTTAATCCCTTACAAAAAATAAATTAGTTAGTCAGTCAGTAACAAATTCAAGGTGGACCCATTTTAGTCCTTTTAAGAACTAATATGGGTCTTTTTTAAATTTGTGAGGGACCACAATTTCAACTAAATGAGTCCACTTTGAATTTGTTAGGGACTAACTGACTAATTTATTTTTGTAAGGGACTAAAGTGGGACTGTGTTTTTTGTTAGGGACTAAAAAAGGTATTTTTTCTTATTAATTTTTGTGAATTGAAATTAGGGCTAATCAAGATTCTGTGTGAGTGGCAATTTGGGCATCACGTTAGATGACAATGAATTGAGGGGTAAATTAGTCACATGGCACATAAAAATTATGTGGGTTGCTTGTTACAAATTAGGTGTTGATTTTAGGGAATTGGATTTGGACTCGCTATGATTTTGTGATGTAAATATATTTTTATCAATTAATATTACAAAAATTATATAACTTTTTTCAGAGATCCTATCTCCTTTAAGTAATTTCAATACTATGGAGATAAAGGATGGTTGAGGTATTTGATCCTCTCTTTTAAATTTACATATTTTTTTAAAAAGAATTAAGTGAGATTAGATACGGGTATTTTATTAGGGTCACGAAAGATTTCTGACATCTTTGAAGATTTTCGAGATTATATATCTTCCATCAACAAAGTTCTTATATCGACCAGCAGGATTTAAACCCGTCTTTATGAGATATGGACCAAACCCTTAATCAACTATACTAATCTTTTTTGGAAATTTATATAAATATTTAGTTGTGAATTTATATGTTTTTTTTTTCGTATAGATAATTATTCTCCCCTCAAAACTTAAACAATATTTAGTTATGATAATATCTATATTTTTTAACTTATAACCTATCCCATATATTAATAATTTTGCCTTTTCTTGCAAAATTTTCCGACGGTGATTAGTGATTACGAGCCTTCAATTTTTTTGTCATATAGATAGTGAATACGCGTTAAAGTTCACACAAACCTTTATTATGATCATATCTATATTTTTTAACTTATAAGAAATTATACACTTATAATTCTGTCCCTTCTTTTAAATTTTTTTATATAAGTTAAACTTATAAAGAATGATATTTTTTAAAATTTGTTTCCTTTTTATATATGGGGCAAAATTATTTTATATTTGTATAAATTCTATTTTTAATCTTAATTATTAACCTCAATTGCATTTACACGTGACTAAAAAATTAAAGTCTTAAACTTTGATGATTTTTCTAATTAAATCTTGCACGCCTTTCATAACTTTAAGAAGCATCTACATTACAATATATGAATTATGAAATGAGTATTAACTGCCTCGGCAAAATTGTTTTAATAAGTAAGTGAATTTTAAATCTAGTGATAATAAATTTGACCATCATAACTTATTTTAATGAAAATTAAGACCGTAATGAATTTACTTTTGATAAATTGAGCATAAATTCAGGTCAATACCTTGTATATATAAAAAGATTCGAAGAGAATAGTATTGAGAGAAAGAATGAAGGACGGAGAAAGCAAAGAATTCTCCACAGAAGAGGCTGATCTTCTTGAGAGGAGTATTCGTAGATCTAAAGAACAAGAAGGAAGGAGTGTTGTTTCTTATAAAGATTCTCTGTTACATTTAAATGGAGGGTCAAGTGAAGAGAAGGAGACAGAGGTTCTTGAGAACCTAGGATTTGAGGAGGATGAAGAATCCCAGTTCATGGAAGAGTGCAACCAATCTGTTGATGATCCCTTCTACCCCTCATATCGTTTTGAAAAGGAGATTCACAAAGAAAGCTGCAAACCTTGGAGGATGGCAGTTATTGTGAAACTTTTAGGAAAGCGTGTGGGGGTGAAGTTTTTTCAAAATAGGTTGTTGAAGATGTGGAATTTAAGCGGCTCTTATGAGTTCATTGATATGGAGAATGATTATTTTTTATTTCGGTTTGACAAGATTGAGGACTACAATTTTGTTTTGCAAGAGGGTCCTTGGATTGTAGCTGATCATTATGTAATGGTTCAACGTTGGCGTCCCTTCTTTAACCCTCATGATGATGATTTCAAGAAGCTGGCTGTATGGCTACGTATTCCAGGTCTCCCAATTGAATTCTATACGTCTAAGCACCTATGTAACATAGGTAATCTTTTCGGGAGAACACTCAAGATTGATAGGAATTCAATTCGGAAAGATATCATAGGAGATAAGGAGTTCACAGATCGAGCAAAATTTGCCCGTATTTGTGTGGAAGTTGATCTTCGAAAAGGATTCCTGTCTAAATTCAAAATAGGCAACCGTGTTTTTCCAGTGGGCTATGAAGGTTTGCACCTTGTTTGCTTTGCTTGTGGTAGGTATGGTCACCGCCGTGATTCATGTCCTACCCTTGCTCCTGCTTCAACTAGTACTATTAATCAAAGTACTCAGATTCATACAACAATGGCAAACACCACAGTTCAGCATAAGGTGGCGATGGAAGGGGAGGCTTTTGGTTCTTGGATGCTTGTCCAGCGTAACCAGCGAGGAAGAAAGAAGGTCGTGAATTCAGCTATGGATGCTGCAATCAAGGAGAAGGCTCATGAAGTGCATTCAATTCCGAGCAAAAAATCTGCACCTGGTGTAATTGCCAATAATGGGGGGAAAAAATCTGGTGTTGTCATGCAAGTTAATGCCAATTTAGGAGGAGTGAATACAGGTGCTGTTAAGAGGGAGATTTTATCAAAAAAAACGGTCCCTAATTATGGCCAGCCAATTGGCTCACGTTTCGCAATCATTGCTGACGTTAACAAAGTTTCAAAAGATGATAACGTTGCAAGGATGTCTAATCATCAGGATTTTAATGCAATTAATTTGCAGAAATCAAGCAACATTCCTGATTTGAATCAGTTAACCATCATGGATACGTCAGCGCAAAATATTCCTCAGCCAGCTAAGCATATGGGTGATCTAATTAATAGTCTGACTAAGCCTTCGATTGGGGCCCAGGAAAAAAGGAACCAAGAAGATCAACTCCTGCAGAATGGGAGCGTTAAAGTTTCTAGAAAAAATAAACAACAGATACCGAAGAAGACTGGGGCGGTGAAGGAATCTTTTGTTCTAAAGAAAAAACAAACGGGTCTTGCAGTATCTTCTAAGTCTTTCAAGCTTCCCTCTAAACCTCAATCTTTATCGAGGGAATCTAAGGAGAGAATTTTTTTGAGTTTGACTAAAGGTGATACAAACATGTTTCTCAATGATATAGCTCGTAACGTGAATCCTTCTCCAAGATCGAATCTGGCTCTTAGTTCCATTTCCGGGAAACAGGAGAATGGTCAGCTTCTTGAAAGGGGCTAGCAAAATGGAAAAATCTTAATACCGGACGAAGAGTTTAAGGAGACTAATGAACCCCCTGATGCTTTGGTTAAATCGGTGTTAGGCAATCAGGCTCACAACAATTTGGTGGATTCGGATGGTGCTTCCATTTCGGGAGATTTAAGTGTGCAAACTGTTCCTCAATGATTGGTGTTCATACCATTCTTTCTTCTTCTCTGTATTTGTTTTTTATGAATATTGTGTCATGGAATTGTAGAGGGGCTGGAAAAAAGGGCTTTTCCCCCCTAATAAAAGACCTCACAAGAAGATATCGTATTTGTATCTTAGTGCTTTTGGAAACCCGTATTGGTGGACTGCGTGCAAAGCAGGTGGCTAAAAGCCTAGGGTTCTCAAATTTTTTTATTTCTGACCCGATTGGTTTTTCAGGAGGCATATGGATTCTTTGGAATTCATCAGAAGTGAATATCCAAGTTCTGCATACTGATCATCAATTTATTCATTCAAAGATAAGCTGGCTTAATTATCATAAGCAGGAATTTTTCACCTTTGTTTATGCTAGTCCTCGGCGTCAAGAGCGTCATGCTCTATGGGATGCTTTGGAGAATATTCAGCCGCAAAATAATAATGAATGGTGCATTATGGGTGATTTTAATACTTACATTCACTCGGAGGAGAAGAGGGGGAGTTCAGTTCACAATTGGAGGAGCATGCAGGATTTTCAAGATTGTCTTATGTCTTGTCATCTTAGTGATCTGGGGCACCAGTCCGAGTTTTACTTGGAGAAGAGGTAATCTTTTGGAGAGACTTGATCGTGCTTGTGTAAATCAAAGCTGGAACATGTCATTTCCGAACAGAGTTATCTCTCACCTTCCTTTTTATAACTCTGATCATCGTCCAATCCTTCTTTGGGATGGACAACCAAATTTTAGTAATGGAGGGGCTCGTCCTTTTCGTTTTCTAGCGGCTTGGTTGACTCATAATTCTTTCTCTGATCTAGTGAAGAGGTGCTGGGCAGGTGGTCACAATTGGAAAGCATCTAGTGAAAACTTTCGAGAGAAAGCCACATCCTGGCATAAGGATTGTTACAAGGAGGAGGAGAAGTTAAAAAATAATCTTCATTCTCGCCTCCGTGGAATTGATTATAGCTTAAGTCAACATCCTTGTCATTCTCTGGAGAGGCTGCAGAAAGAGATCTGGCAACAGTTAAATACTATTTATCTTAGAGAAGAGATTACATGGTACCAAAGATCTAGAACTGACTGGATTCGGTTTGGTGACCGTAATACTAAATTCTTTCATTCAGCAACAGTTGCCAGGCGTAGGAGGAATAGGATTGATGCCCTTCAAAATGATGTCGGGGATCGGATTGCTGACCCTTCTCTTCTCATGAGTATGGCAGTGGAATACTATGATAATTTATATAAGGAAGATATTCCTCTCCGGCCTAATTTTCCCATTAGGAACAAATTCCCAGAAATGGAAAGGA